ATAAACCCTTAGCTAATCTTATCAAAAAAAGGAAAGGAAAGGCTCAGATCCATGCAATCAGGAATGAAAAAGGAGAAGTCACAACAGATCCAAAAGAAATCCAGAGGATCATGAACACCTACTTTGAGAACCTGTATTCTAATAAAATGGAAAACACAGAAGAAATGGACAGATTTCTAGATACTTATGAATTACCAAAGTTGAACGGAGAAGATAAAAACATTTTAAACACCCCAATCACAATCAGTGAAATTGAAAATGTAATTAAAAACTTACCAACAAAGAAAAGTCCAGGCCCTGATGGATTCACTGCTGAATTTTACAAGACATTTAGAGAAGAACTACTACCATTACTCTTCAAACTTTTCAATGAAATTGAAAGGGAAGCTATACTTCCAAATTCATTCCTGGAAGCAAGTATCACTCTGATTCCCAAACCAGAGAAAGATACAACCAAAAAGGAGAACTACAGACCAATCTCCTTAATGAATATAGATGCAAAAATCCTTAATAAGATACTAGCAAACAGAATACAGAGGATTATTAAGAAGATCATCCACCCTGAGCAAGTCGGATTTATTCCAGAGATGCAAGGTTGGTTCAACATACAAAAGTCAATAAATGTAATACATTATATTAAGAAATTCAAGGACAAAAACCATATGATCCTCTCAATAGATGTAGAAAAAGCATTTCATAAAATTCAACACCCATTCATGATAAAAACCCTGCAAAAAATTGGAATAGATGGTCTATACCTTAAGTTAATAAAGGCTATCTATGAAAAACCATCAGCCAACATCATATTGAATGGCCCAAAACTGAAAACCTTCATGTTAAAATCAGGAACAAGACAAGGATGCCCATTATCACCACTTCTCTTCAATATAGTTCTGGAAACATTAGCCACAGCAATTAGACAGGAGAAAGAAATTAAAGCAATAAAGATAGGAAAGGAAGAAGTTAAACTGTCATTATTTGCTGATGCTATGATACTCTACATTGAAGATCCAAAAAACTCCACCAAAAAACTTCTAGACTTAATTGACAGATTCAGTGGAGTATCTGGATACAAAATGAATACCCAAAAATCAATAGCCTTCTTATACACAAATAACAGACACACGGAGAGAGAAATAACGGAAAAAAGTCCTTTTACAATAGCATCCAAAAAAATGAAGTATCTAGGAATCAATCTAACAAAAGAAACAAAAGATCTCTACACTGAAAACTACAGCACTCTGAAAAAAGAAATTGAAGAGGATATAAAAAAATGAAAGATATCCCCTGCTCCTGGGTAGGAAGAATCAACATAGTGAAAATGGCCATACTACCGAAACTGCTATATACATTCAATGCAATGCCAATTGAAATTCCAACACTATATTTCACAGAACTAGAAAAAAGAATCCAAAAATTCATTTGGAACCACAAGAGACCTAGAATAGCAAAAGCCATTATAGGCAACAGTCACATGGCACCAGGTGTAACAATTCCCAATTTGAAACTATACTACAAAGCCACTGTGATAAAAACAGCATGGTACTGGCAAAGAAATAGGCCTGAGGTTCAGTGGAACAGACTGGAAGACACACAAAAAATGAATATGTACTCAGCTACCTCATCTTTGACAAAGGAGCTGACTATCCTCAGTGGAGGAAAGATAACCTCTTTAATAAATGGTGTTGGAAAAACTGGATGTCAACCTGCCACAGATTAAAATTAGATCCTTATCTTTCGCCATGCACTAAATTAAAATCCAAATAGATTAAAAATCTAAATATTAAAACAGAAACATTAAACTTGCTGGAAGGTAAGTTAGGCAGAACTCTGGAAGACCTTGATATAGGTAAAGACTTTATGAACAAATCCTCAGTAGCACGGGAACTAGCAGATAGAATCAACAACTGGGATCTCATCTTACTAAAAAGCTTCTGTACTTGAAAAGAAACCATCAGCAGAATTAAGAGACAATCTACAATGTGGGAAAATTTTTTACCAGCTGTTCCTCAGACACAGGACTATTATTAAGAATATATAAAGAACTCAAAACAATCAGCCCCCCAAATATAAAGACCCGATTCAAAAATGGGCATCCAAAATGAAAAGACATTTCTCAGACAAAGAAGTAAAAGCAGCAAGTGATGTTCCACATCACAGATCATTGGACAGATGCAGATGAAAACCACACTGAGATTTCACCTCATCCCACAAAGAATGGCTGCTATCTAGAAATCACACAATAACAAATGTAGGTGGGGTTGTGGGCAGAAAGGAACCCTTCTCCATTGTTGGTGGGAGTGCAGACTGGTGCAACCACTATGGAAATCAATATGGAGATACCTCAAAGAGTTTGGACTGGAGGCTCCATTTGATCCAGCTATCCTTCTGCTGGGTATCTTTCCAAAAGCACTAAAAGAATCATATGACAGAGAAGTATGCGCACCCATGTTTATAGTGGCACAGTTTGTAATAGCTAAAACTTGGAAACAGCCCATGTGCCCATCAGTTGGAAACTGGATAAAGATGTGGTTTCTATATAAAATGAAATATTACTCAGCCATAAAGAAGGAGAAAATAGATTCATTAATAGGAAAATGGATACATATGGAAGATATACTCCTAAGTGAAATAAATAAGGCACACATGTGTACATACCAAATAGTTTCTTAGGTGTGAATAATCTGCAATAATACAGAAGATCCTAATAAGATTACTGACATTTAGAAATGGGAAGAAAGGAGCTAAAGATGTAGGGAAGGTGGGATGGGTAGGGGAAGGGTAATGAGGGAAAAGAAAAAAATGTGAGATATTGAAAAGATGGAAATAAAATGTTTGTAGATAGGGAGGGGAGGAGTGGGTGAAGGGAGGGCAGGGACAAGGGGAAAAATGAGAACCAAGACTTGTCATGTAGAGGTACAAGATCCCAACAATGAATGTAACTGTACTGTATCCCTAAAATGTACCAATAAACTCAATTAAAGCTGAAAAAAAAGATACTGTGTATGTTGAGTCTTGCAACTCGAAAGTGATAAGGTGACTTTTATATATGTGCACAAGCACTTATTTGAAAAGGATGCAGAATTGCTAGTATTTCCCACAGTAATAAATAAAAGTGGAAGAATTCTTAATTTACAAGTATGAAGTATTGGAGTATTAAGGCTTTTTGACTAATGGGAAAGTAGGAATACAGAAAGTTTGAGTTGAGGGAAACAATTAACTTGCAATATTTGTAGATCAAGGAGGAATTATACATTCACGATCCTTTAGTTGAATACCTTGTACCATTGTAGGAGACAGGTTCAGTTTAATTTGATGACTCTGTATTTGGAATCCCAATTCCTTCTTCTATAAGTACTAAATGTCTTGGAATCTGTTTTTAATGATTACTCTCTACTACATAGGTCAACAAAAGGATCATTCATAAAACAGGGCAAAAACTTCCATTTTATCTTTTGAATTATGGGTACTTGACTAAAAATGAATATACTTTACTTGCATAAAATGTACTTCAAAATACAATCTGTAAAAGATGATTTCAAACACTATTCTTTAGGTATTCCCTGTTCCTTTAAATACTTATGAACTCTAGGTGAAAAATAGAAAATCTTTTGTTTTTCTTCTGGAAATCTCTGTGTGAGTTTTTCTTTGGAGTGACATTTGGATCCTAATTTTGTGACAAGTGAATTAAAATTGTAATGACTCAAAATTTATGCATTTATATGTTCCCTGATATGTTAATGGATATATTGTTATAAATTTTGTAGATCTGTGTTCCACAGTTATATGTCATTCTACTTTAAACTCACTTTAAATAAATTCTTGTTATGTAATTAATAAGAATCTGAGATTAAAAGACAAGTAAATTCACAGTTGATAAAGTTGCATTGAGAAACTCTTTCAAAATCCTAGGCACTTAGCAGACACCTACATACAGTAGTATAATCTTTAATAATTTTAAAGAATGAGTTCAAAAAGCAATGGAAATCATATCCCCAAAATGCTCTTTTACTTAATTTGAGGTAAGATTTTTCTTTCTCATATGCACATCCTTTGCAAAGCTTTTAGTTCTTTTTATCATTTTAATCTGATTTCTTTTTCTCTAATTTTTTCACTTTTTAAGTCACCTATTTTGTATTTCTCTGTCAGTTCAGCACTCTCCATGTCTCTTTGCTTATCTCCTCTAAATATATAATTAACTGTTTTTATATATCTTGAAATTGTCTAAATACATCCTTCCTATCCATCCATATATATATTCGTCCCTATTATAGATTTGTTAACTTTTTTTGTACCAGTGATGAAACTCAGGACCTCATGATTGCCAGCGAGGCTTTGTGCCACTGAGCTACATCCCTTTCCTCTGACACTTATAATTCTAAGTTGCCAAAAATACTGGAGGGAGGATAGATGTAGTCTTCAACCTTATAGAAGTTATAGTCTATTTGAAAGGGTGGACTTAATCTATGAATTATATTTGTGGTAAATACTAAAAAGAAATATGGTATTTCATGATAGAAAATATGACTAATGAATATCTGAAAGTTTATCTTTTGATCACTAAAAGAATATCATAATCTAATATTGAATACAGCATAATTAATGTTTATATATGATTTCAAGTTAGAATTTTGATGTTCTCTGCTTGCCAATACAATCTTATTCTTCAGTTTTATTTAGTACATGTTTGCAGTACATAATATCTTTTTAAAATTCATTGGTGTATCTTCTGCACTGGACACTACTATGTGCAAATGAAAGAAAGGAAGATAACAATAACATTTACTGAATACTGCATAGGGAATCCATAAATAATGACCACACGATTAGGACATTTAATTGTTACAATCCCATCAACAGTGTGTAAGGATTTCCCTATTTTATGACAAGCTGAAAGGTGTTATATTTAAAAAAGTGTTGTGATATTTCATTGTGGTTTTGAGTTGTTCTTCCCAGATTATTAGGGATAAGAAGCACTTGTTTGTATACCTGTTGTCTTGATGGCTGGTTCTCATGTTACAGTAAAATATGTTTTCAAAACACGTCTCTCCTTCTAGGCTAGCAATATAGCTATCATAGCTTACATTTTCTCCTTTATTCTTGTACAAGTAGCACAGCCAAGAAGGCCAATGGATGGAGGAAATCACTCAACTGTGTCAGAGTTCGTGTTCCTGGGACTCACCAACTCCCGGGCTATCCAACTATTCCTCTTTGTGTTCTCCTCCACGTTGTACATGGCAAGCATGATGGGAAACTTCCTCACTGTGCTCACAGTGGCTTCTGACCCTCACTTGCACTCCCCCATGTACTTTCTGTTGGCCAACCTCTCCTTCATTGACTTGGGTGTTTCTTCTGTCTCTTCTCCCAAGATGATTTTTGATCTCTTTAGAAAGCACAAAGTTATCTCATTTACAGGGTGCATCACTCAGATCTTCTTCATCCATGTCATTGGTGGTGTGGAGATGGTGTTGCTCATAGCCATGGCCTTTGGTAGGTATGTGGCCATATGTAAACCTCTCCACTACTTGAATATTATGCACCCAATCCTGTGCATCTTCTTTGTAGTGGCTGCCTGGATGATCGGCCTCATGAACTCTGTAGTTCAACTGGCTTTTGTTGTAAACTTGGCTTTCTGTGGCCCTAATGTGTTGGACAGCTTTTACTGTGACCTTCCTAGGCTCACTAAAGTTGCCTGCACAGACACCTACTGCCTGGAATTCATAGTCACAGCCAACAGAGGATTCATTTCTAGGGGCTCCTTCATTACACTGATCATTTCTTATATCATCATCATTCTCACTGTTCAGAAACACTCTTCCACTGGTTTCTCCAAAGCTCTGTCCACACTCAGCTCACATCACTGTGGTAGTCTTCTTCTTTGGTCCTTTTATTTTTGTCTACACATGGCCTTTTCCCTCTACACATCTTGATAAATATCTGGCCATATTTGATGCAGTAATCACTCCATTTCTGAATCCAGTCATCTACACATTCAGGAATCAAGAAATGAAAGTGGCAATGAAGAGAGTATGCAGACAGTGAGTTATAGAAATATTTCTTAAGTGATTGTTCTGTGAACATTCTTGAACACAGAAGCTCATTTTTGATGATTGATTTCAGAATAACATTTTTTTAATTTTTTGCCTACTCTGATCTTAACTATACTGATTTTGAAGCTCTTTTGCCTTTTATTTAGGAAGGAGGGCCATTCTGTTATGAAACAGAGACAGGACTATGTATAAAGTATTAATAAAATTTATAATAATATTAAATGTCTATTTTGACATACTATTTATATGAAGCAAGTTTCTGGGCATATAAAAGAAAGCTGCCTAAGCCCTCTTAAGACCTTCACAGGCATGAAAAATTTTTTCTGTCTGATATTAGAAGAAGTTATCTCTCACAGTACTTTTAGGAAGCATTTAATGGGTATTTTTAATGGGATATGGATCTGGGTGTTTTGTCTGTCTCTTGCAATTTAAATGCATTTTACACAGATTATGGGACTGCCAGGATGTGAAAGAATTTACATTCTTGTGAGCACAGAGAGGTCTAATGGATGCACATCTATTCATAGAAACCATGCAAGTTTTTTTTTTTTTTTCGGTACTGGGGATTGAACTCAGGTCCCTGAGCTTGCGAGGCAGGTGGTGGAATCACTGAGCTTAATCCCTGGCCCCTTTGTGAGCTATTTTTGAAATAATATGATTGAATTGAAAAAAAAACATGATTTTTTTTTTTTAGTATGTTGCTTGTCAAACTCATTTAATTTTGTTCCCTTTTCTATGGGATTCCTTCTGCTTTCTCCTTTTGTTTTGAGATAGGCTCTTGATAGGTAGTTCCAGCTGACCTTGAACTCACTATGTAGCCAAGGCTGGCCTTGAACTGTGGGCGATCTTCCTGCCTCAACTTCCTTAGAGAGGGGATTACATGTGTGCCACCACACCTAGTTCTTTTTTTCCTTAGTATGCTTTGATGTCAGATATCACTACCAGAAATGTGGGTGTGTCATATGTGGGAGGTGGAACCTGAAGGCTGGTACAGGGTAGCTATCAAGACACCCAATACACATTGCTCCTGCTTGCTACTCACCCTGATGGGTGGTACACAATTAGGCCCAGGGTTTCTCTGCCTCATACTGGATGTCTTCCTTCAGTTCCTCCAAGTTCTTAGCCACAGACAAAGTGCATCATTATGATGAAAGTTACCAGGCTTTATAGTTACCTGCATCATCAAATTTAAAAGCCCTGTGTGACACAGTTCTTGTTTATCTATGTTCTCCTTTTTAAGTCCACTGTCCTGTCTGTACTGACAATCCCATTGGCTTGACACATAGAATGTAGTTCCATATAACAGCCCTATATAAAGTGTGATACCTATAAGCAATTAGTTATTCTTCACACTATGATTTTCCTTCTCTGAGCAAACTCTGAGAGATATCCATTCAACACATTTGCCTGTGGAGTATTTTCTGGAGTTACAGAAAGTAAGATCAGTTGGTATGTTATCTACTTAACATTCTGTCTGAAGAGGGGATATATTTTATATTAAATGAAGTATCATAATGAGTTTATGTCACATAGAACTTACTAGTCTACCCACATGCACAATCACAAGCAACTGACTTCACAGATTAGTGAAATTAGATTAGTCTGCTAATGTGCAGTTACACAGGGCTCTTTGGGATGTAATTACCCCATCACACTTGAGATGCTCTCTCATGGAATTCAGCAAAACCCTGTAATAACCTGCAGAAACAGGCTGTGTTACTCTTCCATTTACAACTCCTAGTAGGGCATCCTGTTCTGCAGCTACTGAGTTTACTTGTGATTCTAGAACACTTCTCTCTCATCCTTGAAGAAAAATAATGCACTCACCACCATGTCCCACAACACACCTTTTGTATTAAGGCCCTTGCCTGCCACTTCTAGGGGACAGTTTAAAAGGACAGTAAGTAAGATGTTTGGTTCAGTATTACCTGAGGGACAATGGGAACTGGGCAATAATGCTCTCTGTAGGAACTGCTTTCCTGCCTGTATGTTAGGTCAACTCTTCAAAGTGTTGCTCATACAATGGAAAAAATAATCTAATTATGGTATTTTTATGTAGTATACTCTATAAAATCTCCTCCTTGCAATATTTGCGCACACAAAGGAGTACTGTGGGATGCTGTATTCAAGGTGGCCACCAGTGGACACCTGGACTAATTTTGGGTGAATATGTGTCTAGACTATCATCAATGGATCTCCTCAGGGGTGCTATTTTTCTGCCTTTACCCCTCAAGGACATGCTGAATGATGCTATTACAGAGTACATATTCATACTTTCTGTGGTGGTGCTATTGTTGAGTATTCACTCATATGGGGTTAGCCTGAGTGGTATTATTGTTGAGGACACACCACTTGTGGGATTTTGCCAAGCAGCACTGTTGTATCAGTGTGTACTTCTTGTGGATCCACTTTTGCTGGTAAGTTGCAACTGACTCTATGCTTCCCTTTTATTGCCTTAATAAATCTTATCACTCACAAGCAATTTCCAGTTTTTTTTTCTGGTCTTTCAGTAACTCCATTCTCCAACACACTTGGGCTGTGAACAAGACACACTCTGCTTTCCCATAGCTCTGTAGCCCTCAGAACGACAAAGCACTCACAGCCCTTGCTAGCCTTGAGTTCAATCTCTCATTGGTTCTCATAAGCTTCTCAAATTCTTGTGTATAATTCCTTCAATCAATTTTCTTCAGTTACCAAGTATCATCTATCTTCTTGTCCAGAATTGACTAAATCTTTCATTATGTAAAAGAAACTAGAGTCATATGCATGTACAAAGATGAAACACATAAGTGTAAACCATAAAATCTAGAGGAATATATACCACATTATAGTTACTTCTAGAGAAGCAATAAAGGGATGTGTATTAAAGATCTTGATCAAAGTGTCTTCATATATTTGTGATGCTCTAATTTTTTGAAGGTCAACTCTTATTATTTTTATTTATAGAAAACTCAACAGTGTCCATTTAACCCAGTTTAGTGATGTGTTCTTTAAATTTTGCCTTTGTTGGCTTGGCAAAAAAGCCACAAATTTTGGAAGAACGTATTCTCTCCCAGGCAATCTCATCACAGCTGTCTTTGCAATTGGTCCTGACAGCTTCTATCAGCTTAGCCAGAACTCTGTTGTCTTGAGTTAATCTGTGTGAAGACAATAGTGGCACATGTCTTCCCACGGACAAGGTTTACTCACCTGGCCTTCTCCTTGATGATAAATACAGAAATCGCATCTTGCAACCCGGGACAGTCAGGAAGACAACAAGCTCTATGGCATCTATACCTGTGCAATCTCCAGGAGCTGTGAGACTTCTCACTCTCTATCAAAGTGGTGACAATATCAGTCCTACTTGGAGAATCTGCAGTCTCTTAGTGGGGATGTTTCATTTGCAAGCATCTTTATTCTCAGACTGGGCCAATAGCTTCTGCTTCTTGTCTTGTTTCAGCTCTAGTCTGTATATGTGGGCCAGTTTAACATTGTTGAGTAACTGTTTGGTGGTCCAAGGCGTGGTGAGCTGGTTAGTCAAAGAAAATATTGTCAGCCACTTATGCAACAGACCCCTTTGCTGGAGGTGGATACAGCAGAGTGATTTGATAAAGTGAGTGAGGTCACTTATGGATGGGGTGCCCTTCCTTGTGGCAAAATTATTAGGTCTTCTATCAAATGGGATTTTCCACCATGTTAGCCTTTTGCTTATTCATAACAGTAGCGGCCAGGCTTCCTCCTGGCCTTCTTTTCTTTAAGCATCTTGAATAGCGGGAGGAGAAAGAAAGGAAAGGGAGTATAGATAATATGCCTGATGTTCTATTCTTTTTTTTTTGGTACTGGGGATCGAAAGTTCTAATTTTTAAAAAATAAGAATAGATTTATATACTCCCTTTGAAATTAAAACTATTTAGAAAGCATAAGGCCGGGGATTTAGCTCAGTGGTTCGGTGGCCTGCCTTGCAAGTGCAAGGACCCAAGTTCAATCCCCGGTACTAAAAAAAAAAAAAAAAAAA